GTTATGGAGGAGCAGATGTGTGCCACAAAAGAAGTTCATAGCCCTGCTGTGACTCACAGGGATGTGTGCCCTGTGTTGTCTCAGGGCTTACCTGTTACTCTCTTTATCTTCAGAGGAGATACTTGCACATACAGCCCCGGGGCAAATCTGATGCTCAGCAGAGATCAGGTAGAGGAGGATAGCTAATCTGTTTAAAAATACTACAGTCCTGAAGAAACTCCTGTTTATTTTGCTGTAGCATTTAAGGACTGTTGAAACTGAGAATTGAACAGTAAAAATAGAGACTCTGTTTCACCTACAGCAAACTAGACTTGGCTTAGAAAGTAACAGATCAAACTGATGGAGGGAGCTGATGACATGCAGCAGAAGGTACCACGTGAAGCCATCGCTGCAGCAGGGTCTGGGCTGCGTGTCTGCAGCATACCCCCGCCCCCCCCCCGCCATGGGTTGTGTTTAACCTTCAGTGAGGATTGAAGTCTGAAAGTCCTAAATGGGCATCTCTGTGTAGCAGTGAGAAAAGCGTATAAGCTTTCCCAGCATTCCTTACTGACTCATTTAGGCAGCTTTCCTCCCAGACAGATGGCAATTGAAGATTACAATCAGAGATAATTAGCTTTCCTCCTGTATAGGTAAGGAAACTAAGGTGCGTAATTCAGGGCTATGAACTCCACTGTAGGATGAATACCCACTAAAAGTTAGCACTGCAGTACAGGCTGCTGTAGTGTCATTTTATAGCTCGGTATACACAGAAATATGTAAATGAACTTGTGCAAACTTTTTCATAAGGAGCTGAGTTCCCTTACAGCAACTAACAGCTGCTCTGTGAAGAATTCCAGTTCTGGTTTTATGTCTTTTAGCTTGCTCCTTTGTCCTGGGTTTTTATTGTGAATTTGATTTCAGCTTTGTCTAAGGAAACACGCAATTAATGATACTCTGAATGCTGAAGTCGGATACACCTACATCTTTGTTCCCCTTGGAAAGCTCATTACCTTACAAATAACTTTTTTTTTTAACACATGTAGACTTGCTGACAACGTTTCCCATTCAGAAAAGATGTCAGTTAGGACTTTACGTGCTGTATTAAATGTTCTTCAGGACTACATCTTTCAACTATGCTATGTATCTCATAGCTCTCAAAATCCTCAGGATAAGTACTGTTTGGATATTTTATGTGGTAGTTTTTCCTGTATTCACATTTAAGAAATAAAGCACTAAAAGCCTTTAGGGGATCAGATACAGGCTCTGCTGCAACCTGTACAACAGTTCTTTGTTAGCTCAAAAACACTTTACGTCCACAAAGTGTTCTTATAGTTATGAAGTTGCTCATTAGAGCTTTTCTTCTTATGGGTTTTCGTGTTGTTTTTGTAAATAATATTTTCTGAGCTTTAGTGCTAAGAAAACAAAGCTACATATAAAGAAGGCTTTTGAAAATAGCCTTAATATTTACAATATTTGAGCTTTTCCGGTTTGGCACTGTCAGTTTGGGTTTAGCTTTCTTACAGTAGTTAGCAGTTAAGGTGTGTATTCTGATTAATTTTCAAGATCCAAAGGCAATGTGAATGTATTCATTGCAATGCTGAATTGAGAGCACTGGAAATGTAAGGCATTAACATTATCAGAGAAGCTGCTCAAACTGTTGGTGTCCTGCAGCTTTCTCCTGAGCTGGCAGGATCGCTGCCCTGGGAAACTTCCAAGACTTAGTAGTAGTGTAGGGTAAGTGCTACCACTTATCTCCATTTTCCTCCCTCCCTGAATTAATTTAGCTTTACACTTTTCACTGACTTGTTTTGCTGCATTCCTGAGAATCCCAGAGCTCTCCGTTGGCACACATGCATCACAGCAGATTGACTTGCAGAGTCTGCTGTTGGGGTGAATTCCAACTCAAACAGCTGGGGATTTGGGGTTTTTTTGGTGGTGGTTTTTTTTTTTTTAGCAGTTGAGGCAAGATCGGGAGCAACGCAGCAAAAATCAGTGAACATAGTATGTTTGGGGCTCTAACTACAGACATGCTTTGCATTTTATTTAAATGAAAATTAAACTGTTTAGTTTTGTATGCTGGTAGAAGCATGTTCACACCTATTTGCTGGGCCTCTTAATCCACACAAACATACATAACGTAACTTGTTGCTTTTTAAAATATAGGGACTAAAAATTCCGGTAAAAAGAGCTGTGGCATCAGATGATGGCAGTCCGTGCATATTTGGACTTAATCTTGACTGGGGTTTGCAAATACTACCGTGAAAATTAGTCATACAAAAAGCACCTGTGTCTCTAGGGACAGATTCTGATACCAGAATCAGGATTTACACTGTTATGACTAAGTGAGAAATTAGTCTGATTTACTTAGGACTTACTGTTGATGTAGATGGGGAGCATTTCATTCTCCAGCTGCTGGTAATGAAGCAACTAAATTAGCCCTCTCAGTTACCTTTTTTTTTTTTAAACCCAAACATTATTCCCTCTGCCCTTGAGAGTCCTAATTTTGCTTGTGAGTGGGTGTGGTTTTTTGGTGATTTATTTTAGCCTAGGGTTGAGATTATTCTTTATTTTCCCTAAGCTGACTGGTAGATGTAGTTTTTTAATTCCCAGCCATTTTTGTGAGAGCTGAGGTTAAATCTTTAGCCCCAAATCAGCCAGAGCTGGATTTTTTAGATATCCTAGGCATTATTAGAAGACACTGTGCCTTGTTTTAAGGTGAACTTCATGCTGTAGTGAATGTGCACCTATAGTACAGATAAAATTCTCTGGTTGGACCTTTACTTATTTAGATTGATCATAGTTGGGGGGGGGAACTTGTGAACTGATATGGTTTGTAACTGAACTGTTTTGAAACCTGCCTAATTTGGCTCTTTCCAGCCTTTTCTCCTTCCACTTTTTCCCATCTTTTCTCTCTGAGAAACCTAAGAAGGATTGTTCGTTTGACCTCAAGCCTCTGGCTCTGCAGGCACTCGTGGACAGAGAACAGTGGGTGTAAATGAGTAACTGATGTTGTAGTGGAATGTATATCTTTCTGTTGATCATTTTCTGTTTTCTCAAGCATTGTGTAGTATGTCTGTTGTCTTTGTTGTTTAAGAGGAGGTGAAGAAGCAGAACAACTCAAAACCATGACACTGTTCCTTCAGGAAGAGCAGTTCAAGTTGACAGAAACCTTTTCAGTTACGCAAATCAAGGTATGAGGAGCAAATGACTTGAACTCAGTCCCCCAGAACATGTTGCATGGCTTGTTTATATTCCAGTCTTTCTGGAAGAAGAGCTGAAGGGAGAGGGGAAACATAGGCTGAGAAAGAACAGTATTGTCACCACAGTATGCAGGAGGAGCTGTGTGGGTTTATAGGACCTGTTCTTGGTGTATTTTGTTCTATCATGTATTATACCGACACCTATGATGTGTAATATATAAATAGCAGCCTAGCTTAGGCTGGCTAAAGCTTTAAAGGTTAATCTGGGCGAGTACAACATGGCTGCAAGAAATCTTTCAGTGAAGGCTGTTACTGAATTTGTGATTTTTTTAATTTTTTTTTTAAAAAGGTGTAGTTGGAGCTGGATTTTTGGCGTTTGCTTTGATTGAAGCTTTGGGAGTTGAGGAAGCAGAGCTATCCGTGCTCCACTCATACCTGCTTTGGACCTTGCATGCACAGGTTAGCTTTTGACCGAACCCAAAGTAATTGTTTTTTTTACTGCACTGTATCTCTCTGGCTGCTGGGCATGGCAGTAACTGCTGGTCTGTGTTCAAGTGCACTGGAGGAAGAAAGAGAAGAAAAAAAAAAAGGCGAAGTGTGTTGGGGGAGGCCTGTGGAGGGACAGGACAGGGAGAGCATATGGAAATGTCTGTCCCCAACTTCTGTGCACCTTTACATAAATTGGCCACTTCCTTCTAGTCCTCATCTCAAGGCACAAAAGCAGGCAAGAAGCTGAGGCTGTGGACTTGATCTTATACTTGATCATAATTACGGGAAAGGTTTCTGGAAATCTGTGATACTTAGAAAGCATCAGTTAGAGGAGGATCCACATTATTGTTCCTCTTCCCCTCAAAGCCACAAGTTGGATTTGGATCTACCCAGGGCTGACTTTTAAACTCAAGTTAGCGGTGTTTAACTGTGCTACAAAAAGCGTGTCCATTGTTGGAATGAGCCCCAAGCCATTTTGGAACATTAGGGAATATTGTTTTCTATCTTAGAGGGGAAAAATAATTAAAAACCAACGTTTACCAGCTGAGAAATATAAAACCAACTGTCTCTTTCATGCTTGCATTTTTAATTGTGTGTCTACAGCATGCAATGGAGCATGCTGTAACCTTGAGCTGGTGCCAGGGATCCACATTGCACTGTGATAATCTGAGCCAAAATATTAGCTTGGATCTCAAGGGTGGCATAGCAACCCTGTGATAGCCCCAAGCTGGAAGTAACATGTTCTGCCTCTCAGCAGGGCTAATTAACTCGGCATCAGGCAGTTACACCGAATACTGCTCCTATTTGAGGGCCATTTCAGTGATACATAATGCCTGTGCTCCATTGTGTTTTGCTCATCAGGGTTTTCTGGCAGGATGCACTGGCTGATGCTTTGTACTCCTGTTTTTCAGCCGTGGAGCTAGTATTTGGTGTCAGTATAGGTGACATTAAATTTTGCATTGGCAGGCCCAAAAGTGATATCTCTGTGAAACAATGCACAGCATTGATTGTGGTAGCTCTGAGAACAGGATCACAGCAGTTTTTTGCAGCCAAAAGGGGGACTGTTTCGGTAAGCTTTAAAGAGCTTGTAGTAACTTGACCTAGGCTTGTACACGTGTCTTCTCGCTATCCAAGAAACAGTCTGATGAGTGCATGCAATCTCTCTTTTTCTCTGGCCTGCCTCCACTGTGGGGCACATGTAAAAGCTCCTGGGTGCCCAGGCAGAGGGAGGGAGGAGGAGTGAAAAAGGAGTTACATCACTGAACAGATGATACAGCACTAGATAAAAAGGAGGTAGGAACAAGAGAGTCTGGGTGTGGTGATAAGGCTGTAAGAGTAAGTCAGGACCTGCAGGCCTTTAGCAGCTTTTGCCGAACTCTCCCTATTGATGGCATGACTTCCTGGAAGGCTACAAACTTGTGTTTTTCAGATCTTGTCTGAAATGTTGAAGGGCTTAGGTTTGGCTAGAACAAGCCACCATACCTGATTTTTTGCATTTAAAGGTGGTAATGGGAATGAGGTGAGAGCGCGCGGGGCTGGAGGTGAAGGTTTGGAGTGGTGTAGGTGCTGCTTTGCCTGTTATGCCCAAGACACAGAGGTAAACTGTGCTTATTCCCAGGCCTGCCTGCAGCTTTCTGGAAGGGAGCTAACCTCGCTCTTCCACCAGCCATCCTGTCTAGGTAAATTAGGATTGCAGGGGGTGAAAATACAATAGATTTGACTGGACTGGGATTCTTTATCAATACCTCTTAGCCGAAGGGTGTGCCTGAGTGGGAAGAGTTTCTGAGCTTATAAGTAGGACTGGAGAGTCACCCAAGAGGGAAAGTGATCTCCTTTGAAGATTTTTGGATAGAAGCAAACTGAAATGGCGATTGTCAATGAAAAATACTGATTAAGTTGCTTTTCCTCCTTACTTGACCCAGCTGGCAGGCATCTTCTGGTAAGGAGCAAAATACTGGTGTCTATACTTGAAAGACAAAAATGGAATGAAATAATCATGAATTGTCCACAAAATGATAAATGTGTTGCTGTCTCTTGTGGTACAGAATAGGTTTCACTATTATTAGGATGATGAAAGGGAGGGAGGCAAGCACTTAGGCCCTAAACCCAATCTATTAACTCTTGCAGCCTGTCCTGAATTAGTGTGCAGCCAGGCAAAAGGTCGAAGGTGGACACAGCTCTAGTCTACATCTCTTCCCCAGTAGATTAATGTCAGCAGAGGCTACATTTCGGACTGTAGTTGCTGATAAATAACAAGGGTTGACTAAATCTACTAAACATCGCTACTACTGTGATACTAAATCTACTGGACATGATTGCTTGCTGTTGAGTACTTGGAAGAAAGATTATCTTGCTATTTCTTTTCAGGTCTTCTGCGGTAGTTGGAGAACGGGGAAGTGTTAGGGGAAACATCAGAAACCTTCCTTAACAAAGAGAAGCTGTCTCTGGAGGAAGACTGTCTTTTTTCACAGTTATCAGGATGCTGTGGAAGTAAATGGCTAGTCCAGTATGCTCTTGGAGGGGAAGAAGGCTCCAGTTTCCATAGTCAGTAAACTCTTCCTCTACTGCTTATCCCCTCATCATTGAAAGAGATTAGGGCAGAAAGAGCCTGAAAACGTCTTATCTTCCAGTGCAGGAAAAATCTTCAACTGCTGGTAAAGATAGTACATGTGGTGTGATGGTGGAAGTCCCCAATAACATTTTGACACGGCAAAACCTTTAGTTTTTTGGTGTCGTGGTTTGTGCAGGCCTTCAGGAACAGGAATAACTGCTTTGGTTTTGTGTGGGGCAGAGCAGGTTAGCACGAATCTTTTCCAATTGAGATGCTGTTAAACTTACCACTTCAAAACCCAGTCACTGTTGTTGGAGAGTTAGAAATGTAGTTTTAATTCAGGGCCACTTTGCTAGAATAATCCAATATATCTACCTTCCTCATTTAAACTTAGTATTTCTGAGGACTTCTGTTTCTTAATAAGCTAAAATCGAAAGGAGCGTTGGAAATGATGAAAAATTTAAGGAGCCTGTGAGGGAAGGCACTAAACTGGCTCAGCCAGTTCAGTACCTTTAAGACTCTGCTGCAGTGTTACTGTATTGTCCGCTACAGCGTTTGCTTCCTGAAGAGGGGGAGAATTAATGAACTATGCATGTACTTAGAGCAAGAACTGGAAGAGTTGATGATGAATAGTGTATAGATTTGGCAGAAGAAATATGTGCCATAATGTGCTCACATTTTGGCAGCTTAACTTGAGACAAACAACGACATGAGAACCTCCTTGGTTGTCCTTCTGCTGCGTAGTTGTTCCACTGGGCATGCACTACATCCTGACCAAAAGGAAGCAGTGCTGCAGGACTGGTGATCATAAGCAAGCCCACAAAATAGTGACTACATCTTAAAAATCCTGATGTTTCTTTTTAAACTTTTTAGTAGGTTTTTATGTGCTTTTTCCACCGTCCCTTTAAATTTCAAGGTCCACTCGAAGCACATTTTTCAAACTCACTTCTCTTCCTCTCCCACAACTACAAGGGCTAGGAATTTGAGGTCTGCGTGAGCTGAAACTTTCACGCTGTCAGTTAATTGCAGCAGCAAGAAGTTCAACTGTCACAAGACTAGATAAGGAGCTAAGATTATTTTAAGATGAGTAGTATTTAATTTAGTAACCACTTTTTAATAAATATTTAATTAACTATTTACTTTAGTAATAGTCAAAGGTGCTTTACAAAATAAGTAGGACAGATGGCAAAGCCTCCTGCATTGTATTATTAACAACCTAATTTTAAGCAAGAAAGCAAAAGGAAGGCTTATAAGTGTTATGAAAAAAGGTGATTGTAGTGTGGTCATGTGATTGCCCAGTCCAACAGCCGTAGTTTCCTTCATGATTATTTTATTCTGTGGCATGGCTGCATCAACTGCATATGTAAGTTGACAGATAAACAGCAGCTATGAGATAGTGGCTTATATCAGATACTGCACTTACTGAAGAAGCAGAATAAAGACTAATTGTAAGTAAAGATGCATCTCTGACAAGGACGTTGGTTCCCCACTTCCACCAAGGGAAGAAAAAATTAGCCTCTGGGCTTACGTAGCTAATTTGTCATATACCCAAATGCATCTCTCTGGTGGGTTGATGGCAGCTGGGGTGGACCCATCTGTCCATAGGAGATGCAGGCTGATCTCTGAGATCTCAATACCATAACAGAGTCTGTCTTGTCTAATTCTGTAATTGTAGCTCTGCCTTGGCAGGGGTGGGAAGTTGAACAGCGGAAGTTAGCTTAGATTCCTATTAAAAAATGCCCATCGATATTTTTACAATGTTTATGCATCCTGTTGCTTGCTTACTTTCAGAAAATTGACGAGCTAACATGCTGTGAATGTCGGGCGTTGGCATGCTGGATTCCTCGCCCCTTTCATTGTGTGGATCACTGTAGGCTTTTTAGAAAGAGGAGGGAACGAAATAGTTGAGTTCCAGCTTTGTCTTCCTTGTTTTGCTTAACCCTGGCTGACCTTGACCTAAGGGCACCATGACCTCTGTCAGTCAGGTTGATGGGCTTAAATCAAGATGCCAGGTCTTGTGTTGTGATAAATAAGCTGGAACGTGACTGTTGTTTTACATCTGAACTGTGTCTTCTCAATTGCCTATTTTCTTGCATCTCTCACTATGGGAATTTTCTAGTGCAATATTTGCATTGTAGGAGTTTGTTTTCCTTTGGTTAACTTTCTGTAACACTCAGCTATTTTAAAATAGGAAGGGAGAGCTGGGAAATGCTGTCACCATTAAAAATACACCTGGAATAATTTCTTCCATAAACAAGGCAACGGTTTGGTTTATTAAACCAGGTTAAGAAAGTCTTCACTAAAAAGACTGTCTTTCTTGACTACAGAACTTTCTCTTCAAAGCACTGAATGAAGCCAGGCACTGTGGGATGGGATGGTGAGAAGACACTTGTGTAATTAAAGACCATTTTATGTTCCTAAGAGCTGAGTTAGGTACACCTGTAATGATGCTACATTCTCATGTGTGTGCGTGTTACCATAAGTCGGCAGATGAAGAACTCTCTAAGACTCAATTTGGAGTTTTAGAAAGCAGGCATTCTTTATTGCGGCGCTGGGTGCTAGGTGGAATTTCCACAAATCAAGCACACCTATGGCTAGATCACCGTTACATTTATACACAGAAATTATAAGGTAGTACACTCCCAGTTACAATGATTGGTTAGTGATTTACATATAATTATAATATCGGTTATGTCATTCTCTTCTGTTACTACCCTTGTGCGGGGGAAGGGTCTTCACCTGGGCAAGGGTCTTCTTGACCTGTGGGTGTGTTTTTTAGTATTATAATGAGGGCAGTTCACTTCAGGACACCTTAAAAGTAAGTTTTGTTGCCAAGTTGGCCAGCTAGATACCTGCCTTGCCAGGTTGTCAAATAACTCATCCAATATACAATAGAACCTGGGGCTCTGGTTATGGTCTAGAGGGTCCAGAGAATAGGGGCTTCAAGCAACAGCCTCGGATAACAAGTAACACAGCAACCCATACATAACGCTAACATAGAGGCTAACTTATTGTAATCAAGATGTTCTTATAGTTGATTATTTCACAACCAAACATAAAAGATTCAATAAAACTTAAGATAATCTTCAACATGTGCACCAGGCTGAATGTCCTACATAAGATACTGAAAGTTGTTACAGATTTCTTATGATCCCATTTGAAGAACAATGTTGACTTACATTCTTTTGTTTTAATGATTTTTTTTTTGCAGGCTGTACAAGTATCTTTGTAAATACTTTACAAACAGAATAATTTTTTTCCCCTCTGTGAATAATACTGTTACAAATAATATTTTTGTTTTCAAAAGACCCTTTATGGGCAGCTTTGCCTTGTCTTTTCTCTGTTTTGTAGCTTAGTCTGACTCTACAGCAAGGTTCTCTTTTACATTGAAGTCAGCAAAATCAGGAATTTAATCAGCTGTTAATTTAGCAACTTTATCTGAAGAGCTGGTTCATTATGTTCTGTTGTTGTCCTAGTGTTGAAGATTATCATAAGTTTTTATGGAATCTTTCTATATTTTGTGTT